AAAAAAAGGGCCGCGGCGGCCGCAGCGCGGAACCGAGCGGAGCCGCGACGAGCGGCGGGAGCGGAGGGGCGGCCGCGGGGCCGCCGCCACCAGGTACGGACCGGGCCCGGTGCCCCCCCCGCCCCCGGCCCCGCCGCGGGGCCCCCCCGCGCCTCGCCCCGCGCTCAAAGATGGCCGATACCGGGCCGCCGCCTCCCCCGCTTTGTGCCGCGGGCCCGGGCACCGGGACCCCCCTCCGCCGGGGCACCGGCAGCGGCGGCCGAGCCCCGACAGCCCCGGGGGGAGGCCGCGGCCGCCCCGCTCCTTCCCCGGGCCCCGCGCGGGGCGATGCGGGGAGCGCGGGGGGGGCGCGGCGGGAGCCCCCCCGGGGCGGGCGGAGGGGCCGGGCCGGGCTGTCACTGCCGGCCCCGAGCACAAAGGGGCTGCGGGGCACCGGGAACGCCCCGGGGACACCGGGGCTGCCCCGAGCCCGGATGGGGGGGGAGGAGGGTTTGGTGTCCCCGAAACGCAGCGGGAGCTGCCGGCGGTGAACGCCCCCCCCCCGGGCACAGCGCGGGGTCACGCGTGTCCGTGTCCACCCTGTGTCCACCCCGTGTCCATCCCGTGTCGGTGCCCACCCCCTGCCCGTGCCCCTCGCGGGTCTCTGCCCGTCGCGGGTCCCTGCCCTCCGGGTGTCACGCACCGCGGACACGTCCCGCCGCCGGGACCTGGGGTGTGGGTGTGTCCCTGTGTGTGTCCCTGTGTGTGGACACGCGTGTCCGTGCCCTCCCCGCGGGGCTTTCCATCCCCGCATCCCGGTGTTTGGCTCCCCGGTGCCCGGGTCCCGCATCCCGCCGGCGGGCGGGGGGTCCCGGCGGGCGCTGTCGGTGGGCGCGGGGGCCGCGCTCCGGGGCCGTCTCGTCGTGTCCGCGGTGCGTGGGGGGCCCCGTGGGGGTCGTGCGGGGGGTCGGGCCGTGCCGGGGGGGAGCCGTCCCGCTGTATTTCCCGACCCCCGCGCTCGCCGCCGCCGGAGGGTCCCGCGGGGAGGGGGGGCGGCCGCTCGGGTCTAAGTTACCGGTGACTTTGAAACGTCCTTCCCCACGCGTGCCGTGGCCGGGGAGGGGGTTGGGGAAGAGGAGGGGGGGCACCGTGCCGCGCCACCGCCCACGGAGACAAAAGACCCCGAAGGTCGGGGCCGGGGGCGCGGGAGCCGCTCGGGAGCGGGGCGGGGGGTGCGGGCGCTGCCGGCGGGACGGGGCGGCCCCGGGGGCTGCGGCGGGTCCCGGTGCGCGGGGGGGGCCGGGGCTTTGTTCGCCCCCGCGGCAGGAAATCGCCGTGGTTATCACCGGGTTTATTAGAACCGGTTTGCGCCGGTGGCTCGGGCTCCCCCCTCCCGCCGAGCCCCGGGGCCGCCATTGGCGCCTGCGAGCGCCGAAAGCTGCAAAATCCCCCCCAAAATGCAGCCGCGGGTCCCGCGGCCCCGCGTGGGCAGCCCGGTCCCGTGGCAAGGGGGGCTGGGGACAGGGGATTGAGGCACCCCCAGGTGTGGGGAGGGGGCTGGCAGTGGTCCCCCACATCACTGGCAGGGTGTGGAGGACTTGGGGGCACCTGCCGGGGGGCAACAAGGGACACACCCGGGGGCTGTCCGGGGGGGAGAGCTGAGCCTGAGGGGGTGGGGAGTGGGGCTTTCCCAAACCCCCCAGCGCCCCTGGCCCTCCCCTGCCTCTGGAAGGGGATCCCAGAGCTCTGCTTGGTCACAGGGGTGTCTCGAGGGCCCCATCCCGATGGTGTCCCATCCCTGCAGCATCCCAGTGGTGTCCCCATCCCTGCAGCATCCCAGTGGTGTCCCCATCCCTGCAGCATCCCAGTGGTGTCCCCATCCCTGCAGCATCTCCATCCCAGTCCCAGTGGTGTCCCATCCCTGCAGCATCCCAGTGGTGTCCCCATCCCTGCAGCATCTCCATCCCAGTCCNCATCCCTGCAGCATCTCCATCCCAGTCCCAGTGGTGTCCCATCCCTGCAGCATCCCAGTGGTGTCCCCATCCCTGCAGCATCTCCATCCCAGTCCAAGTGGTGTCCCATCCCTGCAACATCTCCATCCCAGTCCCAGTGGTTATCCCCATCCCTGCAGCATCCCAGTCCCAATGGTGTTCCATCCCTGCAGCATCTCCATCCCAGTCCCAATGGTGTCCCATCCCTGCAGCATCCCAGTCCCAGTGGTTCTCCCCATCCCTGCAGCATCTCCATCCCAGTCCCAATGGTGTCCCCATCCCTGCAGCACCTCTATCCCAATCCCAGTGGTGTCCCATCCCTGGTGCAGGTGTACCTGTGTGCCTGTCGGAGGGGGGGATACATGTGTGTAAGTGTAGCCTGTGTGTACATGTGTGTACAGGTGTGTACATGTGTGTACGAGTGTGTACGTGTGTGTACAGGTGTGTACATGTGTGTACAGGTGTGTACGAGTGTGTACAGATGTGTAGGTGTGTGTACAGGTGTGTACAGGTGTGTACATGTGTGTACAGGTGTGTAGGTGTGTGTACAGGTGTGTACATGTGTGTACCTGTGTTACACACGTGTGCCTCCTCTTGGTGTGTGCGGGAGTGCCCACGGGGGTGGCTGTGGGTGCGCCCACACTCATTTACACAATCCCAGGGGTCCTTCTCCCCTCTCCCCCTCTCCTCGGCTGGTTGTAATAATATTCTGGCTCCTCTCCAAGTATCGGGGTTGCCATGGAAACAATAAAACTGCAGCGATTTCGGGCTCCGCCGTCTCCCATTGTAAACGTGGGAGCGCTGGAGCGGGAAGGCGGCGATTCCCGGTGTCCTCAGCCCCTGCTGGGGGACGCTGCCCCTGCCCCCTGGGCTCACCTGGCCTGGCACACCCTCAGGGGTTCTGGGCAGGGGCAGGTGGCCAACCCAGGGCTGGGGGGTTTCTATGGAAACCGTGGGATGGTGGCTGGAAGCACCTTTTCCGTGGAGCAAACCCAAAATACACTTTGTGTGTGTGCGTGTTTGTGTGTCTGTGTGTGCACACACGGGAGCTCTGGGCGAGGGACTGGCTGACAGGGGGGATTTGTCCCCACTCAGAGGTGTCTCAGCACCTTGGGGACCCATTTGGGCACCCCAGGGAGACACAAGCATGGGGCAGAGGGAGCTGGGCAGCACTCGGAGGGAGGGGCTGCACGGGGGGAGATGTGTGGGTGCTGCTTGTGCACCCCCAGGGCTGGAGGGGTGCGGGGCTGAGGGTGCCCCGGTGCTCCCGGGGCTGAGGGTGACACTGGATTTGCTCCCTGAAGGGCGAAGTGAGCCCTGCAGGTCCCACCCTTGCACGGAGCTGCCGTTAAGGGGGTGTTTCCCTGCAGGGAGGACCCGCCGTGGTGCTGCTCCAAAATGCACAGGACCACCAGGATAAAGATCACCGAGCTGAACCCCCACCTGATGTGCGCCCTGTGCGGCGGCTACTTCATCGACGCCACCACCATCGTGGAGTGTCTGCACTCCTGTGAGTGTCCCGGGCCCCCACGCTGCCCCCAGGGGTGCCCCGAGCCCCCCAAAGGCTGGTTGTGCCACACCACCCCCCTCCCGTGCTGCCCAGACCCGCCCTGCGTCCGTGTGGAGCTGTGGGGTGATGGAGGGGGCTGCAGCGGGCAGGGGTCCTGCCCCCCAGCCCGTGTGGGGGCCCGGGGGTGCCACTCTGGGCTGGCACAGAGGCTCTGCCCCCTCGTCCCTCTGCTCACACCGAGTCTCTCCCCACAGTCTGCAAAACCTGCATCGTTCGCTACCTGGAGACCAACAAGTACTGCCCCATGTGTGATGTCCAAGTGCACAAAACCAGGCCCCTCCTCAGCATCAGGTGAGCTCGGGGGGCTCGGGGGGCTCCCCGTGTCCCTGCAGCCTGTGCCTGCTCTGGGGTGCAGCCCTGAGCACCTGGAGTGGGGAATGGGGCTCTGCCCCCAGCCCCCCCTCACAGCACAGAACCCCTGCCCCGATCCCACCCCCTGTGCAGATTTGGGGGGGATTTGGGGGGCTGTTGGGGTGGGAAGGGAATGGGGACAGTGGGAAACACCAGTGTGGGGGGGACAGGACTTGGGGACATCTCTGTGCAGCAGGAAGAGGCTGGGACAGGTGCCCTGACCCAGACCCATCCCAGACCCATCCATCCATCCACCATCCATCCATCCATCCACCCATCCACCAATCCATCCATCCATCCATCCACCCACCCATCCACCCATCCATCCATCCATCCATCCATCCACCAAT